TTTTTTTTGCTTGAAGATTGTTTCTGAATAGGTTGCCAATTTAAGTTTTTTTCGTTTTTTGTGAGAGAGTTGAAGATGCTTATCATGTTTTTGTGCGGTATTCATTTACTTATAATTGTGTGGATGAAAATCTTAGCTTGGTAGGCAAATTGTGAAATTAGGTTCCACGAAGAACACAGAACCTGGGTTTTGCGAGGAACCCAGGGGGATGAGGACGAGGATGGTGAAGATGATGCCGGGAAAGAAGAAAATAAAGAAATTAAAATTAATGACGATTTAATTATAACACATTATAAAAAAAAGTCCAACATTAGATTAATAAATGTGACATAAAGTTCTGGGTTCCTGGTTCTTGGTTCCATGAGGAACCCAAGAAGATGAAGAGGAAGATGGTAAAGATGATGCGGGAAAGAAGAAAATGAAAAAATTAAAATTAATTATGATTTAATTATGTCATATCATCAAAAGAGAAAGTCCACATTGGATTATTTTACTGTTTGATGCCACGTATTACAAATTTTAACGGTTATTAACGGTGCCGTGACGGCCCGTTAAAATATTGGGTTTTTCACGGGTTTTGAAAAGTGGAGGGTGTGAATAGGGAGAAAAAATTCTGGAAGGTGTTGACCGCGGAAAAAAAATAAATGAAGGGTGAAAATAGGGGCTTTGGCCATATATAAATAATTGTATGGTAAGATACTGAACAGGAGGAAGACCAAAACGCTATGATTTGGTACTCTTTGCCTCTCTCACAAAGAAACGCATATACAATCATACAAGCATATCTTGACCATATAAAGATAAAGGGAAAGTGCAACTGTAAAGAGCAGGAAGTTATTATTAGGACGCGATTCTAATTCCATCAAACTTTAACACGGGATTTGGTCCTGCAGGAAGGAAGTTTTATTTAAGGGAATGATGCTTTGAGTGCGGTATCAGCATTGTGGCCCTTGGATGAGCGAGACTTACTTTTGGATTTTAATTGTTCATGAATCTCACTGATCTAATGGTTTAGATTTTGAAGTTGGTGCAAGTTTAATTGTAAAACCATTTCCGAATATCTAATGAACTAGTTTTAGCTGATGCATTTGGGAACAACTAGCAAGGGGCATGCGCAAAGCAAAAACCTCATTTTGTTTATTTTTAGGAGAACTAAAAATGAAGAGGAATACACCCTTATTAGCATTTAGGGTTATCTATTCAGTTTTCAGCCAATAATTTTAAAGAAAATTAACACCACCAGCTAGTATCAGGGTTGACATGATCTAATTAACTTATTTTTATCCACTGATATTAATTCATCTAGAGGTCTAAGTAATTATAACACCTTTATTATACAAAAAAAGGTACATAACACCTGAAAGGAAAATGCATGAATTTAATTTCATAGTTTTTTTTTTTTTTGACAAAAGCAATGATTAGTAAGTTAAGTTAGTTGTTTGTTAAAAATTGAAGATTCGATCCAAGATGAAGGTGAGTGCCGCCACTTCCTTATTGAGGAGCGCAACCAAACCAGTAGACCGCATGATGGAGTTCTTAATTTAGTAGTTTCATTCTCAACTAATAGGAGCTATAAAATAACTAATTAGCTGAGATTTCAATGTCACTTTTCAATTCCATCAAATTTATTTTTGGAATGGGAAAACTAATGCATATCTATTAAATTGAATAAAGATAAAGCATTTCTAAAAGTACGATGAATGGAAAGAAGTGATAGACAAACAGAGACAAAAACACACAAGAATCAAATTGAATAAAAATAAAGCATTTCTAAAAGTACGATGAATGGAAAGAAGTGATAGACAAACAGAGACAAAAACACACAAGAATCAAATT